GGTGGGGGCGGGGGCGGGGGAGGAGGCGGAGGCGGTCCCGCACTCGAGGGACCTGGTGGTGGAGGCGGGGGAGGCGGAGCACCTCCCGAAGGGGGCGGAGGACGGCCTGGCGGTCGCGGGGGCGGAGGTGGGTTCGAAGCCTGTTGGGGTGCCGGCGGAGGCGGAGGCGCAACAGCTTGTCGCGTGGGCGGAGGTGCTGGGGACGGAGAGGGCGCAGGCGCTGCGCGTGCAGGTGGAGGTGCCGGAGGCGGAGGTGGTGCAGCGGCAGCAGGGGGAGGATTGCGCGAAGGACGCGAAGGAGGAGCAGGAGGGGGAGACGGTGGCTTGTTGCCAAACTCGGGCGGAATATGCGAGCCGCGAGGGCGCACCGGCGGAGGTGGCGGCTTCTTCTTCACGCCAGAGTTTGCTCCTGCAGCCGGTTTCGCCTCAGCCTTCTGCGCGTCTCTCACGAAGTCCTTGATGAAGTCCATGTTTTGCATGAGAACCTCGCGCGATACGCCCTGGCCCTCTAGGTTGCCCAAGAACGCCTCCCACGATGGGTCGACATTCGTTGAGGTGAATCCTGTGTCTGCGTCGTATCCCATGTGCGCGACATGCTTGAAGGAGCCCGCCGCTGGGCCTGAGATCATCGCCTTGTCGATCTTGCCACCCTTGCTCGACTTCGCAGCTTTCTTCTTCGTAGACCCAGACTTTGCTTTGCCTGGATAAAGTGTTAGCACACGGCGTGCGGTACCTATAGCTATAGCCACGCACTACCATTGCCAACCTTCTTGGAGGTCACCTTCTTGTGGAAAGCCTTCGCCTCGCCTTCGTCAGCGAAGACAAAGCCAATCATGCAATCCTGCCAAACGTCCAGGGTAAGCAAATCGCCGCCGTCTACCAACATAGCCACGTACATCACCAGAAAACGAGTGGAAATAGGGGCGGTCCGAGTAGTACTCGAAACCCTCATACAGCTCATGCTCCCAGATGATGCCCCGCGTCCCCGCCAGGTCCACCAGCTTGAGGTTCAGGACACCCTGGGTATCCCTGACGAACGCGATAGCCCCCTGCAGGCCCGTGTAAGACCATTCGTCCGGCTTGGGGTAGGCATAGTATATGCGAGCGAGCGCGGCGGTGAAGATCTTGTTGGCGGGCGCGTTGACCGCGGCCTTCACCTTGGTCTTCTCCTCGTTCGAGAGCGTAGATTGAGCGGGCATTCAGTGTAGACGCGTATAGTGAGTGAGGTGCACTGCTGGCAGTGACGAGAGGGATGAGTGCTACGGAGCGCAGTTGCGCGCCGTCTGTGCCAGTGAGGTGCACAGGACAAGATGTGTCCGAATGTCAGATCGACTCCGAAATGACGCGGTAAGTCCCCCGTAAGCGACGTTATCAGTTTCGGGCAAATTGGCGCGCGGCACAATTGAACACAAACTCGGCCCGGATCCTACATTCGCTCACTTACTGCGAGCCACTGTGTGGCTTTATGGACATCCTATGTATGTACCGCGCTGCGCACAGGCTATGAGGGCCCTGCTGGGGATGTGTAGAAGCTCATTAAATAAATGTGTCGGAAGAGAAGAAATATCCAGTAGACCGTGACTGGCGTTCAAGTTCTTCTAGGGCCGATTTCCCACCTCCTCTATCTCCTGCTGCCCAGGACATTCGATGTCTCTTGGTTGTAGACTGTCGATCGCCCATGAGCTCCCCCCATAATACTGTTCTGTATCATCGTCCGTGAAATCGATGGGTGGAAGCGTCCGGAGTTCCCGTATCCAATGATCGACGTCCGCGCGTGCAAACTGGAGGATACTACGTGAGCTGAGCTGCGAGTCACCGGAAGGATGGGTATAGGCATTCGCTGCCTCTTGTAGGTCGAGGAGAAAGTGTGTCATGAGAATGGCTGTCAGTCTGGTGAAGGTGTCGTTGATGACGCTATAAAAGAAAGATGCGCGGACGCCACTAGCCGTCGCACCCGCGGTGAGCTGCGGCCATCATCGCGTCAGACGAACTGGGTGGACGATGACAAATGTGTGCGCACCGCAAGAGAGTAAGAGACCAGATAGAGCACATTTATGATCGTGAGGACACTAGTCGTGTGATATTTGAGTATCATCCTAAACCTGGCAAGTGCTCCTTGACGTACATGAAGTACATCGCCCCTTTGAACATGATGTGAGTCCACAGCTCATTAATAGTAGTCTATGAGGTACGTATGCATACTCACCGTTCCTATACATGACACTCGAGAGTGTCTTCGCCACGCCAAGGACATGGACGCTTTGGTGACGATGGGTGGTGGCCCAGGTGAGTGCCATTACGATGACGTCTGCGACAATAACGGATACGCGAGCGACGATGGACACTGTGGTACGAAGGCCGTCAATTTTGTATCGATAGTGGATGTTGGGCGCACGGCACTGACAGCTACGACTTGTCAGTCAACTACCACAAGGTATGATAGGGACGACATAAGCTACACACCTGAGATGTGATGGCACAGGAGCGGCACTCTCTGTCGTACAGCCTACGAACGGAACGAGCGTGCTGTCCCCGAAACGGAATTGAGCCTGTCGGGAATCATCTCAATATGAAGTATACCAAGCGCGTGTGCGAATCTCACCGTGTACATGGCAGCTGGAACGAGCGAGAGAAGAAGCACGAGGACCGCCCAAGCCCACTGATTTCGTAGTGCATATACTCGGAGACAGGAGAACGCTGTGCCGCGGCCCGAAGTCAGTAGTTGAAAAATGGCCCTACAGTATTTGATTTGACTACTCACCTGTCCATATGAGATATTGCAAGGTATATACACCCAGTTGCGTGGCCGTGTCGGCAGTGCATCTATGTTATGTCCATGGTTATCGACTGCAATCGACTGCGTCGATGCACGCCTGTTGGCGAAACAAGACACTTACCCCTTCATATATACATATTTCGTTAGCATGGGAAATAATGCGTGCATTAAACTAGCAGAGCTTACTACATTGGAAGCCTTCAAAGGCTCCCATAGCAGATTATATATGGAGTAGACGAGGATGAGGTAGCGATTCGCGAAGAAAAGGCCAGATGCGCCGGAGAATTTTCGCTTCCAGAAGAAAGCCACCTCTCTGTCGAACGTAAGGAGGTGGTGCCATATGAGGAGAGCTGCATGAAACACGAAGTCAGTCACGCACACGGACATGGAAGCAGGCAATCCGAACACACCAGAGGCAGCGGTGGTGCAATATTTGACTGCGGCACTGAAGAAACAGAAAAGAGCGATTTGACATCAACTATGTCTGATGCCGAGTACAACGGCTGAAACTCACTTGAGACTCTGGATAGTGACTACGCCGACGGTCTGCGTGGCATTAACCGCGGGGCTCATGTTCGTTAGTCTTGAGATGGATGTTGCGAACGTCTTGGACAAGCGGAGAACAGCTGAGGGGCCGCTGTAGACTTGTACAGGAGTTCTGCACACATGAGCGATTACCGGAACCCATTAGTGGCCCAAAGCCTTTTATGTAGGTGTGCAGTACTCACAAGTACACCGCTATTTGGATTGAACTATGACCACGCCGGGCTCGGATCCTCCGCCATCATACCTCCGGGCTCACTTATGTCGCCTTGAAAGGAAACAGAAAGTGCGAAAGCATCGTGGCGTAGCGCAGGCTCATTTCCGCTACTCCGCTTCGACATCGTGTACATGTCACCCTGAATCAGTGCGCAGCCCCGCGACCAGTGGCCGCACGCTGCGCACCAACACATGCTGTGACACGACAAGTGGTATACCATGCATAGGGAGCAGTCGCAACAGACATCCCTTACGCGAGGATGCCTAGACGGACGATGTGCGAGCCGTGCTGACTTCAAGTTGTCCCGCCAACCCCGTCATGGTACAGGGGGATTTGACTCAAGATCTATACGCACGTCGTATTTGGAAACCAGTTGGAGGTTGACATATATGAGCACCCAATGGCAGTCATGCGATTGACTTGCCGGGGCCAAGCTTGAAGTAGCTTCGGCTCCACGCGCTCCGCGGCATCAACAATTCTGTTGATGTGAGTATACTGTTATAGTGCTCGTGCATCGTCGCGCAGACGCTCACTGTAGACATAGCCTCACGCACCCGCAGCGACAGCGGATTATCCAGAGCTTTCGCTCCCCTGCCCTTATTCCGTAGTCGGCGTCGAACTCCATATTTGACCGACGTATGCCATCCGCAAGAATCGGTCTGAAACAGACCGTGAATGGATGGGTCTTCTAGTTTCCTGAGATGTGCCCCTGTACAGAAGACCGGACATCGTTACACCGGAAGTATACATGTGCCGGAACCTTGCGAGTGATGAACGCGAAACATGAATCTTAACGGTGTGCGTCAGTAGACAACCGCTAAATTGCGTTACACACATACCGTGCTCTAGTCCTAGAAGCTTTGCCTTAGGAGTCTGCATGTCGTACTAGAGGTAGCCGGTCGATCAGTCAAAGGAGTCGACACAAAGCGTAGCGGCCGGGATGTCGCATGCAAGAAAGTAACACCAGCGATTAAATCCCGGAGGTTCTCTGCATCGGACAGCTTCGCGTTGGTCAAGATGTTTTACGGGAGGCATCCATAGAGGTTGTTCCAGCCGAGTATAACAAGTTGCGTTACAACAAGGAAAGCGAAAGCGCACAGAGCAAGTCACAAAGAGTTCCATCGAGCGACGAGGTGAAGGGGATAGTGTATCGCTAGGTCTCCGCCGCGCTCAACTTGACGAATTCCAACGCAAGCTTAGGGCTAGGGTCGAATATTGAGCGGCGAAAAGCTGGAAGTAAATCTGGGCACTCACCTGTCGGCAGGCTTCACCGGGACCTTCTTGTCGACAAGTTTCCCGCCCTTCGCAAAAATGAAGTGGCTCCGCTTCGTCTTGCCCCCTTCTCCGGCACCCAGCGCTGTGATAAGCACACGCTTCGGGTCTGAGAGTAGTGGATAAGGGAGCTCTTTCTAGAGCGATATTTCAGTTTTTCACTTCGTTCCGGCCGACGGAGTGTATACTGGAGAACAAACCTTAGTTTGCCATTTGGCCTGAGCAGACGGCTTGTCTGCGCTGAGGCAGTAGACATCGAAGCCAAGCGCCGTGAAATCGGGATAGATATCCCGGAATCCGCAAGCTTGCGTGGTGCAACCCGCTGCATGTATATCTCTCAGAGCATGTTCGCTCTCCGTTCAACACGCGCACTCACGGGTATCGGCTTTGGGCACTAGGAAAAATATGACGCCCTTCTCAGCCGCTAGTGCCGCCACGTTGACATCCTCGTCCTTCTCACTCTTGAGCGTATACGACGGGAGTGAGTCTCCAATGTCAATAGACGACAGAGCTGGTGCTGCTACGTCAAGAGATCGATCAGCATGATTCCCCGTACCTCAATAATCGTTCCTGCGCTCACCTTCGGCCTTATCGTTGAGTGCGTCCCCCGACTCCTCCGACGCCGGATTTTCAGCTTTGCTCTACGGACATGGAACGGAAACAAGCAAGCATACATTTCTTGGTTAGCCAGTACATATAGACAGAGCGAACAAGAATATCGCACCTTCTTCACGGTGGGTGCCGCGTCGCCCCCATCGTTCGCACCCTCCGCGTCGGCTGCCCTCTTCTTGCTAGTCGCCTTCGTCACAGCCTTCTTGACAATCTCCTTCACGGCTTCGACCTTGGGCTGAGCAGAGATCCGCGTCGACCTCCTGGCGGGCTCGACGGTCTCCGAGGAAGCTTTCGCACGCGGGGCCATGGTGGGGGAACTGCGAAGAAAGGCGGGGGGAGCCTGGGTACCGTCCTGGTCCAAGCCCGCTGATTATATACGTGACCAGCTGGGGCTAGCGTGCCGCCTCTTGCGCTTCCTGAAAGCCGGTGACACACGCTCACGCCATCGTCCCGCAGACGGAGCGACATCTAGACAAGCTCTGCGGGTCTGCGCACCCCTGGATCCGAGCCCCGGCTCCGTGGTGGAGGCTCGAGGGAAATAAGTCGACACGGCGCTCACCGAACGAGCGCGCCTGTAAGTGCAGTACATGAGGGTACACAAATCGAACTGCTGCCAGGGCAAAATCTGCTCAGATCGGAGCTATAGTTAAGATTAATAACTACACAGGACACGAATGTGCCGCAATGCTGGTAAACCTGAGATAGAGATCGATACGACGGTGCTATTGCTGGACTAGTGCTCTCTATAGTACTGGTAGGTTGTCATGCATCATGCGTCGCTGAACGAAGGAGCGAACTGGGTGGACGTATGCAAGAGTGTCAGGAGGACAGCGGATGAGATGATCAGAGCGATGGGGTAAAGTTGAGGGAGGGATATCCACGGTAGTGTAAATACAGAAACCAGAATAGCGAACCCCTTGAGGGTCGCACAAGCTAACGTGTACAATCTATGTTCTCCTGATAAGTATACTGTAACGAGGAGATTTTGCTAAGACATACCATCACGAAGCTGCACCCGACACAGGTTCGGCTGTTTCCCTCATCGAGCTAGAAGATGAACTCCGCGAGAGGATAGACGGTCTTGTCGACGGAGATATGGGGCTCGCAGTCGCAGAGGTAGGGGTAAGGCCACCGCTCAGCGACCGTTCGATCGGGGACGAGACGTTCTGGGTATCGACGGACACTGCGGAACTTGACGAGCGGGAGCGACGGATGTAAGGACGTGGAGGTAGCTTCTGTGGTTCTGATGGTGAAGTGGCGACAGGGGATGCACGTTCGCGTTCAGATGGAATGCTGTCCGAGCCGTACTCGTCCACCAGACGGGGTGGAGGTCGCTCTACCATTGCTTCAAGAAGCTGAGTTATTGACGGGGTTAATTTATGTTTAGATGGGAAGAAGAATCCATACGAACCTCCTTGCGCAACTCTTCGCCGTCATACTCGCCCTCCATTTCTTCGGGTCCAAGAAGTACCGCACCCTTCCTGAATACCTCTCCCTCCTCTTCCACGAGTCGCCTCGAGCTGCCGATAGTTAGCATACTACTTCTCTGCAGAAAAACGTACGGAGGGTACTCACAGGTCTACAGGAGACACAACATCCTCGATCACGTCTGACTCCGGGCTCCGAGCAACCGCTTCGCCATCCTCATCGTCAGATTCCGTGATCAGGAACGTCGGGCTGAGGACACTCTCTTGCGGCTCCGGTTCGGGTTCCGCGCGACCCTTGCCCTTGTCCACTCGAGGAGTGATCGGCTCGTCATCATCGTCATCATCGTCAGCCTCAGCATCCTCGAGCGACGCGGAACCATTGGTCGCGATAACCTCAGAGTGCCCGTTGCCCATCGCATCACCATTCCCTAAGAGGATCCCGAGGCCTTGAATCTTGAGAGGCTCTGGCCTGGGTTCCAACCGGCCGAGGAGCATCATCAAGTCGTCGTTGAGAGCCAGCAACATCTCCAGTTGCGACGGATCCGAGGTCCTCTCGATCAAGGCCACGACAGACTTTATAAGTTCCCGCGTAGACTTCACCATCTCGGAGTTCGGGTCGAGCGTAGGGCGGGCTGGCGACGACGAGCCAGATGACTGGGCGAGCAGAGCTTCGAGCTCGCTCTTCCGGGAACGAGCCTGGAGCACGACATCGGACTCGGTCTGCGCCGCGGAAAGGATGTCAGTCGGGGCCCGGGACAGAGAAGGCAAAATGTCAATTTGCTCATCGACCTTTTTCTTGTCGTCCTCCCGGATGGATTTCGCAAGCTCGCTCTGCTCGATCATGCCCCACACGCCCTTGGCTTCCCCGCGTCCGCTCTGGACGCTAGCGGCATCGCCCAAGCTTGCCCGCTCGGCTTCCTCCGTGTTGCGTATGCACGTCTCGAGAATATCGCGACACATTCTGTTTTGAATGAGTCACTGTATCTGGCCTCTTCCTCCTATCTGCTCACCTTGCCATCTCCTCGTCCGTTGGAGGAATGTTGAGGTCCATACACCGCATGACGTGATTCTGCTTGAGCCCAGAGCTCAATGCCATGACGCCGGCAAGGTCGAGGTTGTTCATCGTGAGGTCCAAGTGGAGCAGGGAGGCGGATTCTGGTAGGAACTCGGCCAGCGCGATAGCGCCCGCGGAGGTCATGCCAGTCGACGAAAGGAACAGCCGTTTCAAAGCAGCGTTTAGCGTGAACGCCGTCCTCAATGATTGTATCTGTTCAAGTGTAAGCGTCGAAAGCCTAAGAGCCTATCCTATTGGCTTACCCCCTCCAATCCAGGACCGCAGCAAGGATTCTTGCTCAAGTCGAGTGTTTCTAGACACGAGTTGTATTTCTGCGTTACGGGTCGTTTAAACTGGTTTCGACGTCAACATTCAGACAGCACCCACCAAGGCCTCCGCAATTGAAACAAGACCCAGAACATCGAGCTTGTTCTCGCTAAGATTGAGCACTTTCAGCGTTCGATTCCGCTTGAGGACTTGAGCGATATAAGTAATCCCGTTCTAGCGAAAAGTCAGATACGAGCGATCATCTCACAAATGATACTTACCCGGATGTCGTTCCCTTTCAGGTCCAGCGTTCGGAGCGCACCCAATCGAGGCAGATTGTCCAGCGCCCTAACTTGCTCTAACAAGGCAGCACTCGGTCCGTGCTTGATGGGCGTCTCAGTCCCCCGTGCGTGCCCGTTGGACTGAGATGGATGTGCTGGTGGGGGCGGTAGGCGAGCGGTCACACCGCCCTGAGCAGATGAGGTTATTATGGGCACCGGGCGTCCAGAAGGAGACAGCGGGTTCGTGTTGCTAGGCGTAGGCACACCTGGTACGCGTCGGGCACGGGGTATATATGGCGTGTAGGTCGTTTGTGGTAGAGTTGCGGGGTGTCGAGGTGGGGGAAGGACGGGTCCTGCCCTCGTGGGTGGTGCTAGAGTAGCACCACTGCCGTTGAGCGAGGGGAGCGGCTGAGACGGAGATGATGGCGTAGCAGGAGGCGTGAGCGAAGCGAGACTCGAGAGAGACGTCACAGGGGAGCTCGGGACGGATGACCCGTCAGTGGAGGTAGCAGGGAGGCGGTCAGGGTAGTCCTTAATCATGAGGGCGATCGCCACAGCACCCGTTGCGCTTATACGATTATGCCGTAGTGAGATGTTCCTCAGGGAGGACACCCGTACAGCGTGCGCTACAGTAGGGTAAGTGCTGTCTCGACTAAAAATAACGGGAAGTACACACCCAGCGCATCGAGTGCTTGCGGTTTAAGCGAACAATCATCCAGCCGTAGAGAGACTAACCCAGGTGTGGGCGCTGCAGGTAGCGCTGCTGCAATATACTCGATGGCCTTCTTGTCCAACGCGTTCTGAGCCAAGTCCAGAAACTGCAGACTTCTCGCCTACGAGGGGGATTATGTGTGCTCTAAATAATGCAAGCACGAGAACTCACCTTCGTTACGTACGCACCGATTAGACGGAAGGCCGTGGCCTTTAACCGTCTATTGGAGGAGACTGACAAGAACGTGAGCGTGCCTGGAATAAGCAGCGCATGTAGCAATGGTTTCAAGATCTTGTAAACAGTCAATGCATGAACATAATCTGGTCCGCGGCCGTGAACTCACTATCTCGTCCAGGTCACACTCCTTGAAGACCAATTTACGGAGACCCCACTCGATTGTGAACACGTCGGATAGAACCGACGCGGAACCGAGGTTGAGCTGTATACCTGAGAGGTCTACTGTTCGCGGGGTAGCATTCGCAGCACGCTAAACAAATAGATCCGTGATGTAGCCACCGCGAGCAGCCATCAAGAAACGTACCTTGAACGCCGCTGAGATGGCGGGGTCGGGCACTTCTTCTCGTCCCGTGCAGCACTCGCGGTAGAACGCTTCGACCTTGTCCATGCTCCACCAGTCATCTTCCGCGCTCGACTCGGGGTTGGTCGGGGTGCCTCTGACCACGCGCCGTCTTCGCTCAGCCTCGCGCTCTTCAATGGACCGTTTCTCCTCCTTTAACGACGGCGTAGAGGGTGGGTTGGTCGACATGATAGGGTATATCATGGTCATCTCTGGGAGGATGAAATGTGCACGCTTAAGCGTGCTGGCTTCATCCTTGGCAGCATCAGGTTGCTGGCTCTGGGTTGGCAGGATCTTGGAGATGCGCGCGAAGAAAGAGGGTTGCGGGGGAGGAGGGCGCTTCAAGATAGACTTGCCCGGGGTCGGAATGGTCACTGCGGACGACGATGCTGAGGGCGACAACATCGCTGCATGTCAAACGGGTGGTGGAGGTTGGGGAGATCGCGCGAGACTCGCTTCACGGGACGATGGCCAGGGTTCCGGGCAGCGTTGCCGCCCTTGAGCCAATCCGCCAAGAGATCTAGCAGTTGTAAGTACCAGAGTTGTAGTCGGCTAGATCTCAGTAACAAAGGTGTTGTAGCAGAGTAAGCTGGTTGAGTTAAGCAGTACTTCAGTAATCCTTCGATTACCCCTGTTAGCGCTTGTTAGCGCGCTTTTAGAGCGGCCCGACGTGTCGGGGGCCACGTGGGCGCTGGAACAGCAAACCTTAACACCCCTGGCTGTTTGCAGACGCTGCCTTTCGCCGGGCACGTACTTGCGCCGATGTTTGGACTACAGCCACTGCGCTCGGTGAACCTTGCTAGCACTCACCAAACCGGTTGCTATAATCACACTGTTTGACCGCTGAAAATGCGCGTAGATTCAAGAGAAGTAGCACAGGTCAAATTAACTTGAACCGACCCGGGAACTTCTGCACCGGCCCCAACATGTACGGTATCTTCATGAGGCGATAGCTCGCTATGGATACATGTTCAACAACATCATATATAGCTAATCCACTCAATGCCTCGATAGGCAGCTGTGCGCTATGGACGATAAGCGGACTTGTGTTCCGTCGCACATGAGACACCACCTTGCTCGTTCATCGAGGGAAAGCCCGCGACGTTTGATATTACTTCTAATACATCGATATTTTGTGGGACTACAAGAAGTTATAAATAATAACAAGAGATGCTACGATACCGGTTTGCTGTAGGGGGGAAGAATAGGCTACAAGAAATTAGGGACTCGATAGGGTAGGAGACTTAGCACACATCCATATACTCGCGGCACTGGCTGTACAGCCGCGCCCATCTTCCTCCGTTCCACTCGCGTATTCTTGCCCAGCAATCATGCGGGGAGACCTTCTCTATCCAGATCCTGTCCATGGGTTTCAGTCCATCATCTCCGTGCAGCCCGAACAGACACTTACAGCACGGCGCACAGCGCGAAATCGGCATAGGTGATATCTTGCCCCATGGCGACAACGCCGTTGCGGTCGGAATGATTTTTGTCCAGCACAGACGCGAGGAAGTTGAACTGCTCCTTCACGGCAAGCCACGCCTGGTCGTGCTGTGCCGCCGCCACGCCGCCGAGGTGCGCGCCCGGCGCAACTGCGGGCGCCCCGCACCTGAAGTGCGCCTGGCTGCGTTCTGGCAGCCGCTGGTGCGTGAGCGGAACGAGGATCGGCAGGAGGGGACGCGCGAAGATCTCCTGCACGTAGTGCACGAAGAGTGCCTGCATGGCGCGCGAGCCTTCGGGGAAGATGGAGCGCGCAGGGTACGTCGCCTCGAGGTACTCGGCAATCGTGTTGACGTTAGAGAGCACGACGGGCGTGGTCCGGGATCGGAGTGTGTCGACTATTACGGGGAGGGTGTAGACGGGGCGGCCGTCGGACTTTTGGGCGGAGGGAGGAGCACCGATCGTGCGGAGGGTGGATTCGACCTCGGGGAAGTCGAGCCAGACGGTGCGGTGGGGGAGGCGTTTGTAATTCAGGATAAATCTACGTAGCGGTCAGAGTCATTGACAACGTCGTTGGTCGGACATGTTGCTCACCGTATACGCCAGATATTCGGAGCCCATGGCTGAGGCACCGTAGAGCGGACGTCATAGAGGGTAATGCCAGAGGTGGACATGGTCGCTGAGGGACACACTCGCCGGTCGATACCCATCCTTTATTCGTGGGCGCAGAGGTGCAGGCGCAGTACCAGGATGAGAGTGCGCGGGGAGTCGCCGCAACAGGGGACGGTGATAAGCGGCAAGGAACAGCTTGCTCCGAGGTGCAAACAGCCGGACTCTAATATCAACGCCCGCGCAGGGGCGGAGTGATAGATCCCGGAGCGTACGTTTACGTTTCACGGGCGGCATCCTACAAGGGCCCTCCTCCTACGTCAGTGAGGCCAGATCATGGAGGAGTTGACGTCTCCCCGAACAATTAGGAGGCGGTCCCGATAGCTGCCTTGAGTCACAAAAGGACATGCTAGGACAGCCTCCAGATCCAAGGTAAACTCGAGGCACTAGTAGACAGAACGTGACAGCGTGAACATCGGAGCGAATTTTGAACGCACCATAGCATCCGGATATACGTAGTGACAGGCCATTTTATATGACGTTATGATTGTCCCCGGAGAAACGGGGACCTCCGAGTTGTCGTGCGAGCGTGGTACTGTGGTCGACGGTGTGGTTGAAGAAGTGGTGCGGAGGATGCCTCGAGGCATGAGCACAGCAATAACTGAATTGGGAAGAGCGCTCTTCCCACGTGTCGTCCTTGGTACCTAAGTTTGAACCTGTTGGAACTGCCACCTACTGCCTCCGACACAGGTTGACCTTCTAGATAACTGGAAAGCCTTTCTAACTGATGGACTACTTACCTGCAAATCTGTCTTCCTTGCTCCGGTTTTCAGGCATGCTGAGGTCAGCGGTAACGCTGATAACGGCTGATCGGTGACCTGTTGTCGCGAGACAGTCGCACATAGGTCTGTGCACTGATTCAACACTGGAGACCTCGGACATCGGATGCAAGAACAGGCATGCACACCCACTGAATGGTTATCGTCGCAAGGAGTGCTCCGAACTGTGGCTCAAAACGTGGCCTATTCCTGTCGCGAAAGATGCAGGAACGAGTTGGCTTCACCGCCTCTGGATATCACCGGTTCGCCGCACTCGGCCGACCAGCACGGAGGAGCCAAGGATAGCTCCTGACGCGGACGGCAAGCTATTCGCTGAACACCGGGACTTGGAGGGCTATTCTCATCACACCGGCGTACACTGTCCTCCTGTTGTTGATGGATCGCCCTTGTACTCTACTCGGTCAGTACGTCCTTGTCTATGAACTTCCGCAAGGACCTGATCCGGTGCGCAGGTGTTTTCGACCTTGACAACAATCATTCCCGCAGCAGGTGGTCCCCGAGCCACTTACATCGGTGTTTGCGTGAACCTTGTATACGCCTGCGCAGTGTGCCCGCGAACAATTCCTTGCTATGGGCCCCGCATCTGCCGACGTGGCATCCTGTGAGATCCCGGTCAATCAGTAGGTGAGTGCAAGACGTGGGCGTGGCAGTTACGTTGAATCTGACGGCTTGAAGTAGCATTCGATGGGCGTACGCAGCCCTGTGATTCCGAAAGCTCACGTCAGGCTCAACCTCTCGGTACCGCTGCAGGTCCAAACGCCCTACCGCGCTAGCCATTGCTCTCTTCGGAGCCTCTTTCGACGTCACGGTGTCTCTTTCAGTTATGGAGTATCCGGAACTCATGCACGGCGTACTACCTGCAATTCAAGGTTCAGATCCTTTCCTCGTCCTGGACCCGATAAGTGCTCAGCGGTTAACGACCAATACTCGCCATCAACCAGAGCCTATTACACCGGGCTTTGCGTGAACCTTGTACGCTCACGGAAACTCCCTTGCAATGGGGCCAGCACCTGCTGACGTGTCATCTTGGTCAATCAATAGGTGAGTACAGGTGAACGTGGACGTGGCAGTTACGCTGCATCTGACGGCTTAAAGAAGGGTTCGACAGACGTTCCGCGCAGCCATGTTCGATGTGAACTTCATCTTCAAGTCATACGAGTCTCCAGAACGGGCGTCGCAGCCCTTTTGAGGAGGTACTTATGTTAGCGGTGGCAGTCCAAGGCACCATCCTATATCACCTACGCCACTCTCTACCTGTTTCTGTATGCCGGTGAGCTTTCGGCACCTACATATACGCATATTCACCCATAAGGAGGACCGAAGGCCTTTTGACTCAAGCTTCTACAATTGCCACAAACGGGCTCAATCTACTGCGAGGGTTCGTTTCGGAATGTGGTGGGTAGGTGGTGAGTACTGAGTATCCGCAGATCGTGCATGCGCATCCTCCAAGTCGACCTGTGAATGAATCAGGTGCTTTAGACATCCTAGTACTTCTTTTCAATGTGTCGGAACTACTCACAACTAATGTGTGTACAGGTACCGCAATTGACCATATCGTGCGTACTTCTCCGAAAAAGCTGACTTCTCCGAAAAAAGCTGAATTCCTCCTTGCTGAATTGAGGATGTAATTTGGCCAAGTAGAAACTTCCGCGGTTGGCGCTGACGTTCAAGACGAACCCTACTACACACGTAGGACCTCCAGTCTGCCCACCCAGTCATCTCGGTGCATCCAATCCGTCCACGCTCGGGGAAACGAATGCCAAGGGTGAGCTTACTGGAAGCTCACGTCTATCGCTGCAGTGTTGGCCGCTGTCGCGCACGTTCGCCGGTACGATTCGGCCTATCGGCAGAAGATGGAAAACTTGTATGTGCACAGCTGGAAGATCCGAGCTCTGCTGGTACTGGCGCGAATTCGAGTCAGCCTGGAGCAGATGGAACGCATACCATGCGTGTGTTTCCGACGACCAGTTTGGGCAGGGGTCCCGCCTGTTAGTTCCCTGACACCTTCATACCCCTGGCTACAATGGGAATCGGGATACACTTGGCGCTGCGCCGTGGCAATGGTACGGCCGGTAGTACACGGTATGTCAGCCGTTACTTAAGGCGGCAGCCGTCGTAGGGTCCACATCACCGCGTATGTTGGTTCCGAGGGCGGCCTCCTACCAGCGCTCTCAGGATCTATGTCCCGTTTGTCTCCTGGGTTGAGGGCGCTGTCGAGTTGGGAAACATTTATCCACGACGGTGAATCATCGTTGAGCATGACCGCGGCCGGGATACGTCGTAGCGTCATGCGTGCTCTCATAACACGGCAGCAAATTGCAACGGGCTGACAGTACGGCGATCGTGGTCGCGGCGTGCGTGCGACAAGAGGAGCAGCCACTTCGCACCACCACCGGCGTAAACCTGGCCAGAGCTCCGACCGTCCGACAACTCCGGGCGGCCGGTCCGCCTAGGCGCCCATGATCACGATGAGATCACACCCCAAGCTCACTCAGCCGCGGGCCCAACCTACTTTACCCGCAGGCGGCCTCCGTTCTTTTGGACAGCAACCACCACCACCTCTACCGCACACACCATGACCACCGCACTCGACGCACTCAAACAGACCGGCACCGTCGTCGTCTCCGACTCCGGTGACTTCGAGTGTGAGTGCGATTGGCGCGTCTGCTCGCTTAGATTGCACGCGGGGACTGATACTGCTCGTCGTTAGCTATCGATGTCTACAAGCCCCAGGACGCGACGACCAACCCGTCGCTCATCCTCGCTGCTGCCAACAAGCCCGCCTACCAGCGCCTGATCGATGCTGCCATCGAAGCCGGTAAGGCCAAGGGCGGTGACATTGAGACCCAGACCAATGCGGCCATGGACCGTCTCGTAAGTGCACGCTCGCGCACACTCAATCGTATTCACTCTTGACTGACCGTGACTTCCAGCTTGTCGAGTTCGGCAAGGAGATCCTGAAGATCATCCCCGGCCGTGTCTCCACCGAGGTCGACGCCCGCCTGTCCTTCGACAAGGAGGCGACCAAGGCGAAGGCGAAGGAGCTCATTGCTCTCTACGAGTCGCTCGGCATCAAGAAGGAGCGCATCCTCATCAAGATCGCGTCGACCTGGGAGGGTATCCAGGCTGCGCGCGAGCTCGAGCGCGACGACGGCATCCACTGCAACCTGACGCTCCTGTTCGGCTTCGGACAAGCCGTTGCGTGTGCCGAGGCGGGCGTCACGCTCATCTCACCCTTCGTCGGCCGTGTACGTGACTTTCACGCGGAGGTTGAGCGGTGGGATACTGAACATGTGCACAGATCCTCGACTGGTACAAGAAGAACAAGCCCGGAAAGGACTACGTCGGCGACGCGGACCCCGGTGTCCAGTCGGTGAAGAAGATCTTCAACTACTACAAGCAGCACAACTACAAGACGATCGTCATGGGTGCTTCTTTCCGGAACGTGCGTGCGCCTCTTGCTCTTCATATGGGCTTCTAACTGATGACCCTTTTCGAACAGACCGGCGAGATCACCGCTCTTGCGGGCGTTGACTTCCTCACGATCTCCCCCAACCTCCTTGAGGAGCTCAAGAACGACACCTCCGCCGTCCCCAAGAAGCTCGACGCCAGCGCAGGTCAGTACTTGCGTAAACAAGCTGCTCGCGTACGGTACTAACATATCCTCAACTATAGCTCTGAAGGGCGAGCAGATCCCCAAGGTCACGTACGTCGACAACGAGGCCGAGTTCCGCTGGGCACTCTGCGAGGACGAGATGGCGAACGACAAGCTCCACGAGGGCATCCGCAAGTTCGCGCAGGACGGCGAGGCGCTCAAGAGCGTCCTCCGCAAGAAGCTCTCGGCTTAAATGTTGCGCGCTGTTCCTGGGAGACTCGGAGTGTGTTGTTTCGGCATCAGGGAGGGGTAGTAGGAAGAAGAAATCTGTACATGTGTAAAACGTAGCATGGATTCACCAGCATCTAGATTTTGCCTCACCATACTAGACCAGCCCTCGCTGGGTCCAGATGGGATGTGTACGAACCTTTGAAACTCGAAGGGGATATGGGTGCTTTTAATTTTGTCGATGGTCCCCTCGGGAGGTGCGGGGGCCGGCCATAATGATGTCGATGACGCTAACCGGGGCGTAGCCGCCGGCGGGGAAGGTGTCCGCGCCTCCGTGACCGACGCGAACGCACGCAGCCGCTCCTTGCAGCAGCGCTCCTCTATACATTTCCCCGCTCAATATACCATATGCATGGCTTCTCCTTGGCAAAATACCACCCACCCACTCACTCACTCACTCTGCTTGAGTACGCGCGCCCTCTTCTGTTCCCCCTCACGCCTACCATTTCATGACGACCAGCTCAGGTTTCAGCACACCTGAGACGCACAGCTGAACTTACCCGCTCAACCGCCCGGATCTATCAAGCATACCCGCCGCTGGCCTTCTGTTCGCACCCGAGTTGTAGCCCGCGCGCGATCGGTGGTTGAAAACGCGCCCCCTTCATTCACGCTACCCCCCTAGTCTCTGCCACGGCCGTCTACCGCTCCAGGCATGTCCGTAGAGGAGAAGCGGCCTAACGGCGGGCCCTCCACGAAGGAATCACCGTCAGCTCCTCCACCACCGAATGGCAGCCTCTGGGACAAGCTGCCGCCATGGGCGTCGAAGAACCTGCGTTCGGGGAAGTCCTGGAAGCTGCTGCTGAGGTGTTGGGTGGCCTCGTGGGTGTGTTTCGTGATCATGGTGCCAAACAAGTCGTTGGCGACTTTGGGAAATACGTGAGTGCGCTTTTGCAGCGGTGGACAAGATGTGGTGGCTGAACAGGAGGGTATATGCTAGTGCGTTCTTCGCGCTGCTGCTGAGCATCATGATACCGCCGAACATGCCCGTGCAACTCTTCATCTTCGTGAGTATTCACACATCTGGCTAGAAGAGAAGGACTAAACCGACGCGCTTTGTAGGCGGTCACGACCTTGGTATTAGGTATCGCACTAGGATGGGCGATATCATGTGCCGGTATGGCTGCCGCGCTCGCAGTAAGAGATCAAACACTGGTGAAGGCAACACTTCAGAAAGAGGCCACAAGGTGTGTGTGTTACGTCCGAGAAAAGCCTCTGGCGTACTGACGTTCCCCTTAGCGCTGCTGGTCTTGCCAACCCCGACGCGCTGTTCCAGAACGCCATCTTCAGAGGAGACTTCCTAGACACCAGGTTGGCCTTGCATTTACTCTGCTGGGGCAGCCGCTGATACTCAACCAGGTCTACGGTTATATATGGAGTCTTCATGGGCTTCGGCTGCTTCATATTCGCGCTTGTCAGGGCGTACGCTCCGAAGCTCACGATCATGAGCGTCTTCGGCACGATTGCTATTGACATATTCTGCGTGAGTGACCTCTAGCATATAGTGACTTTGTCTTATACTCTTGTCCTTCACAGAGCTTCGGTCCGCTCTTCCCGGTCGCACAGTACACCCTCCTCAACTCCATGTTGACTTCCGTTGCATGCTATATCGCGATTGCGCTGGTGTTCATCACCTTCGCATTCCCGGAGACGCTCAACCATTCCTACCTGGCGTCTTCGGCGGAGCTCCTCGGCAAGTTCCAAGGGATTCTGGCCATGCAGGAAGAGGTGCTACGAACCGACCCGCATGACATCGTCACCGGCACTCCCCTTGCCACAAAAACAGCCATGGCGCGCACTGGGATGATCATGCAGCTCCAGCAACGTAAGTCTCTCGTAAGGGTTTGGACGCAAGTGATACAGCTGACTCGTGCTGGACAGTGATGGGCCAGAAACAATTCCTCAATCTCGAGTTCAGCTGGGGCAGGTGGAATGGCGACGATATCAAGGACATGCTCGAGCCGCTGCAGATTATCGCGACGCGCCTAGGTGCTTTGAACGGTTTCGCGAAAATAATGGGCCACCCCCTCTCGCTTGCGGACCACAAGCACGAAGACACCGAATCCGTATCGGAGGCTCAGTCGGACGCTAGCGGCACGGCCGTAGACGACACCTTCCTCCTCCGCCAGTTCCGCGA